AATGTTATCAAACACAGATGGAATGATTTTTGTGAATGAAATTCCTGATTTTGCTAATTTCAATGTAATTTTCATGTTCCTGCAAATGTCAGGAGCTGCCTGCCTTGTCTAGATTAATATACAGTGAGATTTTCATTATACCTAAGACCAATTGGAATAAAGACAGAACCTGACTGGTAAGAACCAGTACTACTAATTCTTTTATAAGCATTTTTGGTCTTGGATTGAAGGATTGTGGGCATTCAAATTGAGCATGAAATAAGAACCAACTATAAGAGTGATCTCAATTCCAACAGTGCAGCCAATTGCTGTGGTAATCTTATAGAGTTCAGTCATGGCTGCTGATTCACTTTTTCCTCCATTGAAATATCAGACAAACTGAGGGTGAACAAAAGAATAAATTTTAATTTACTCCTGAAAATGGGTCATCTTCGTGAGAAAGGAAAAAAAGCAGTCCATGATAACTATGAGTGACTATTATTTATTCTTTGGATATACATCTTGGCTATTGACAAGAAAGTCTATATTTCTAGCTTCATTTATTTCTTATTGCAATTCTAGGCTACTCATTGAAGATTGTTGTTGGCATTCTTAATAGGCCAAGTAAGATTTCACAAACGCAATTAATAAATATATGAATATTTTCTAATATGTTGTTGCCCGGAGAGACTGCTTGTTCATCCCACCTACCAGGATAGCTTAGTCCTAAAATAAGGACACAGAAATTGCATTAATTAAAACACTGCTTGGCCTGTTTACTTCAGCCTAACATTGGCATATTTCTCACATCTTGGTTTAACCCATTTCTATTAATCTGTATATTTCCATATGGCAGTGGCTTACCAGGAAAGATTCAGTATGTCTGACTCTGGCAGTTCCATGACAGTCTCTCCTCTGCTTCTTTCCTCCCAGCATTCAGTTCTGTTTTCCTCGCCTACTTAAATTCTGTCCTATCAAAAGGCATCTCTTGGGAATATACCCATGAGATGCCCTATCACACCACAAAAGCATTTGTTCAACTATGTTCATAGCAGCACTATTTGTAATAGCCAGAACCTGGAAACAACCTAGGTGCCCCTCAATAGAAGAATGGTTAATAAAGGTGTGGAGCATATACACATTAGAGTTCTACTCAGCGGTAAAAAACAATGAAATCTTGAATTTTGCATGCAAATGGATGGAAATAGAAAACACTTTACTGAGTGAGGTAAGCCAGACCCAAAAAGAGGATTATGGTATGTATTCACTCATAAGTGGATTCTAGCCATAATTAAAGGTCTTTGAGCCTATTATTCGTGATCCTAGAGAAGCTAAATAAGGTGAACCTGATGAAAATCATGTAGCTATCTGCCTGGAGATTGGAAATAGACAAGAGTCCCAGGTAACCTCGGGTGCATGGGGGGGTGGGAAGGGTGTCGGAAAGGGAGAGGGTTAGAGAGAAGGGAGTAGGGGAGGAATGGGGAAAGCTAGGTGGACTGGGATGGGGGGAGGGAGAAAGGATGGATATGAGATCAGGGAAGAATATATTTCAACTAAGGGAGTCATCTTAAGGTTTACAGGAGACTTGATTATAAATGGGATCACAGGTTCAAGGAGATCCCCAGATTGTTCTTTGGACAGAGGAGAGGGTGCCTGAAACGGCCTAGGCCCATAACCATACTGATGAATATTTTGCTTATCACCATAGAACCTTCATCTGGCGATGGATGGAGATAGAGACAGAGACCCACATTGTAACACTGAACTTAACTCCCTAGGTCCAAACGAGAAGCAGAAGGAAAGAGAACGTGAGCAAAGACAGCAAGATCAGAGAGAACCTTCATCCCACGATGGATGGCGATACAGATGGAGACCCACATTGGAGCACCGGACTGAGCCCCCCAAGGTCCAAATGAGGAGCAGAAGGAGGAAGAAAATGAAAAAGGAAATAAGGACTGCGAGGGATGCGATCACCCACTGATACAAGTGGACGGATCTAATGAGAGTTTACCAAGGCCAGTTGGACTGGAACTGAACGAGTAAGCAATCCAACCAGATTCTCTGAATGTGGCCGGATTCTCTGAATGTGGCTGGCCTGGAGTCTTTCTGAAAAGCCATTGACAATGGCACTGGGACTTGTTTCCTCTGCATATACTGGATTTTGCGAATCCATTCCGTCTGGACACTCACCTTCCTGGATCTGGAGGGTGGGGGAGGAACTTGACCTTCCCACTGGGCAGGAAACCCTGACTGCTCTTAGGGATGGAGAGGGAGGAGGAGAGGGAGTGGAGGGAGTGGGAGGTTGGTGGGAGGAGGGACAGAAATGGATACTTTTATAATTTAATAAAATTACAAAAAAATATTTATGGAAACTGAGATAACATGGCAAAGCAAAATCATATGAATTAGAGATACAGAGAAAAGAGAAGAAACCAGTTCAAAGGCATAGAAAATAGTGTAACAGGATAAATTGCTGCTGTAAAGAAGGAGAATCTTATCATGGTACAAGGGGCATAGAGAACATCAAATAGACAGGAGCAGAAAAGAAATTCTCAATAAGATAAACTAATCCAAACATTAAATGTGAAGAACAAAAAATGGCTACTAAAAGCTGCAAGCAGAAAAGACAACATCACTTATATAAGGCAGATGTAATAGAATAAAACCTGAAGTTTCAAAGGAGACTCTGAAAATAGGGGTCTGGGAAAATGCTTTACAAACTCTAAAGACCATAGATGCCATTCTAGACAAGTATACCCAGCAAAAATATCAACCACTACCTACAGATAAAAGCACATTGAACATTTTCTCACTACTAACCCAGCTCTACAGAAGACACTGATAGAAAATTTTAATATGAAGGGTCATACACCAAAGCAGACGCAATGAATAATCCCAGAACAGTTAATCAAAAGATGAAAAAAATCCACTACAACAAGATAACAGGAATTAATAAATACTTTCCCAAACTGGCTCCCAATATTAATGGTCTCATTTCCTCCAATTTATGACCCAGACTAACAGATTTATTAAAAATCAAGATTTATCTTCATACAGTTTTAAAGAAACATACTCCATTATCAAGGACAGCCATCAGTTTAGGGTAGAAAATATAAAAAAAGGCATTCTAAGTAAACGGAACCAAGAACCGAGTATAGTAATGATGTGGGAAGTCCTTATGTATATGTGTTGCTTTTATTGGTTAATAAAGAAACTGATCTTGGCCAATGACTTAACAGAATATAGCCAGGCTATCTATCTATCTATCTATCTGTCTGTCTGTCTGTCTGTCTGTCTGTCTATCTATCTATCTATCTCTATCTAAAGAGAGAGGGGTGAGTAGGTGGAGTCAAGGAGAAGCCATGTAGCTGCTGCAAGAAACAGACATGATGAAAACTTGTCAACAAGTCACATCCACATGGGGAAACACTGATTGATAGAAATGGGTTAATTTAAGATATAACAGCTAGCTAGAAAAATGCTTATGCTATTGGCCAAACAGCATTGCAATTAATACAGAATTCTGTGTGATTATTTCAGGAGTCTTGGCAGCCAGGATTTTAAGTTTTAACTTGTCACTGGAATTTGCTCAACTTATTTAACACAAGAAGTAACTGCTCTTCATATCAGAAAGATATTAGTATGGTGGAGATTGGGAGAGTCTCTTCCCATTCTTCCTTACAAGGTATCACCATGAAAATTCTTTAAAATAGATACTTCAATAACCTTTGGCATTTTCCTGGCTTTGACAATTCATTATACCCATCTTATTCCTAGGCAATGTTCAGTTTTTAGCACACTTTTCTTTTAGATTTTATTTCTTTGTTAGCTTCCAAACCCATGTTATTGGTAAATCAGTTGTGAATGATGAGCCAAACTCAACGTAGATGCAGTTTGAGATGATGAGAATAAAAAAACTAGTCTGCCTTAGATTGAATTCATTACCAACAAGCTAAGATTATTTTTAATGTTGTCTCTTTATTATATTCTATAATCTTTATCAAGATCTTTTGATAGGGTGACTAATGTTTTAAAAAATGAGAGAAAAAGGAGTTTAACAGACTAGTTTAATTTAATAGTTTATTACTAGACATAATGAAAGTGAGGAAATTCTAGGAAATCTATGACTTTCTGGTGTTTCTTTGAGTGCCAATGCACCAATTCATTAGTATGCTTGTTAATTCATTGTTTGTGAATCAGTCATGGCTTTTTACTTTTATCTATGCTGTTTTTGATTGTGCTGGTACATTTGGTTACACCATTAATAAGTAAACTAAGTGTCATATAAACTTTTACACCAGGACTAAAAGCTGTAGATTTAACATTTGAGTGATTAGGAAGTAGTAGAGTCAACGATGTGTACACTGAGCAAATGTGATCCTTTTAAAAAGAAGATGAGTGTGTGTGTGTGTGTGTGTCTGTCTGTCTGTCTGTCTCTCTGTGTCTGTGTATTTGTTTATCAAGCTATTTTTATTTCTGCTAGATTGTTTCTTTTTTATTTTTATTTGTTTGTCTTCTTTATTACCTATTTGTTTTCTTAAAAGAGAGAAAGAGGCTGTGGAGTTTTAAAGGCTGAGAGTTAAGGATAATCTAGGGGGAGGGAATAGGGGAGGCGAAACTATGTTTAGAATATGTTGTACAAAAATAAATTTATTTTCAATAAAAATTAAAATAAATTAAATTTTAAAAAAAGCCAGTCTCTGTATTCATTAAGCAATAAAAGCAATACATAAACAGAATGACCTCCTACACCATTTCCCCTTTTCTGTTTAAACAAAAATTAAGGCTTTAACATAGTAAAATTACATATAATAAAACAGTTATCAAGAAAGAATTGTAGTTACAATATTTATATCTACTTTACCTTTTATCATAAGTAAGGAAAACTATAACTATAAGTTCTTCAACTCCATCAAAGACTTCAGAAGGATATAATATTACCTAAGTAAACAGGACTTTAATTGTAAGCAACTTCCAAAACTGTAGAATTGACAGAGACATCTTGCTGCCTAAAAATTTACCTAAAGTTCTTCTGTACCAATGGGTTATCCATCTTCAGTCCACAGTATCATAGTATCCAATAGACTTTTTCACAAAGCAGGAGATTTTTCAAAGACAGTTCAGTCACTTTCTTCAGCAAACTGGAAATGTCAAGCAGACTCTTTCATGAAGCAGGAACCCTGAAGGATCATCTCACCTTTAGTCATTTTCAGCAGTCATTTTTCTATGGGTACTGCATGTCTAGTAAAGCACTTCAAGCAAGAGCAGCTTTTTGCCCAAATGGCTAACCAAGTCCATAAGGAGCCTTTTCTATGTCCATCTTCCTTTTGGAGAAGCCAAAGAAGACTTGTCCCATTGTCATGAATAGTTCTGAATTTAAACATATTAAATGCCATATTCAGAAAGGTTTCTGAAAGATTTGAAGAATACCTATCTAACTGAAATGTATCTCTATGGATCTAGAAAATCTAACTAACATGACTACAAACCTGACTATTTTAGATTATCTCTTAAACCATTATATAGCTATAATTAACTTATAATCATCCTAATATGTTAAGGTCAAACCCACAGCTAACAGGACTACAACATATCAATGTAAATGCATCTTTTCTTCAGGTAATTCAAATGTCATAATTTGTAAAAATTTAGCTCTTCAGATGGTATTACTGGTGTCATATGCATAAACATGTCTAAATTTTTACTCTTAGATTTTTTAGGTATGCAGATATGTAATTGACAGACAGAAAAATATGCTAACTGCAACAATCTAATTCTATATTGTTAGCGAGATAGTGATAACACAATCAGAAACTTCATCTGCAATTTTTCTGAAGGAATAAAATTTGTAACTCTGCCCTAAATATATTATGTATAGACCCACAAAAAGGATTGGCTATAACTTCCAGAAACAAATTAAAACAGATAAAAGTTGGGAGCATTGGGGTGGTGTAGGGGTGGGGGTGGAGGTCTGGAAGGGGAGAGGGGGAGAGAAAAGGGAGAAGGAAAGTAGTAGAAAGAAATTGGGGGAGTGGGAGGGTGGAAATGGAGGAAGGGTGGATATAGGAGAAGGGAAGAAGATATCTACATTAAGGTAGCCATTTTAGTGTTGAAAGAGATTTGAGTCTAGGGGGGTTCCCAGGCGTCCATGGGGATGTCCCCAGCAAGGACCTTCAGAAGCAGAGGAGAGGGTGCCTGAACTGTCCTTGCCCCACTATCACACTGATGATTATCTCGAATATCACCATAGAATCTTTGTTTGGCAATGGATGGTGTTAAGAGACAGAGACCTTTATCAGAGCAATGGACTGAGCTCCCGAGGTCCAGTTGAAGGGCAGAAGAAGGTAGAAGATGAGAAAGGAAGTCAGGACCACAAGGGGTTGTTCCACCAACTGAGGCAGTGTGCCTGTTCTAATGGGAGCTCAACAAATTCAGATGAACTGGGACTGAATGAGCATGGTATCCCAGGGGACTCTGACAAAGGGGACTGAGTGAGAAGCCATTGATAAAGGCACTGGGACTTGTTTTTATTGCTTGTTCTGGGTTATTGTTACCTTATTCTATATGGATGCACAGCTTCCCTAAGCCTGGAAGTAGGGCATAGTACCTTGGACTTCCCATAGGGCATGGTTTTCTGCCCTTTCTCAAGCAAGGATGGGGAGGGAGGATGGTGAGTGGGAGAATGGGAGGCGAATGGGAGGAGAGGAGGAAGTGTAAATTTTTGAATAGAAAAATAAAAAAAAATTAAAACAGATAAAATTAAGGTATTATAGAGCAAAATTTTAGAAAACTTAAATGCCATTTAAAATTAAATAAAATCAAAGAAACAATTAAAAAATGCTTAGGGTAATAATGTCCCTAATAAAATGTCAGAAAGGGTAGAAATCTCTCTAAAAGTACCACAGTTAGCAGGAAAACCACTGACAAATAATGGAGGCTAAGAGAGAAAGGGTCTTTTTTTCTGTATAGTTATATTAATAGGACATTAAATTAGGAAATGTCAATGCTAAATTGGTTACATAAAATCACAAATGGATCTACTCAGTAGGAATTCTCATGTATACAATTGTATTACACAATAAACTATAATAATTTTATTATGTAGTAGGATTGATTTGACACTTTTACTATAGATATTTTTTAAAGGAAGAAGAAGAATGAGCATGAAATAATATAATTAGAGTACTTATGTATGAAATTCTAAACTATGATAAGAGAGTATACACATGCACGCATATGTATGTTTAAATATAATTATGCATAGTCAATCTCATACATGTAGATATACATAAAAATATATAAATATAAGAAAGTAATTGTGAGGCTTAATAGTATATTAGGAGAGACATTGTAAAATTGAACTCCTTATATTATGAGGGAATATCAGCTTTAATCACTCAGATTCAAATAGTGTGTTATTTCATTTGTTTATTGGCCAAGGTCATGAATAAAAGTCTAAACTAGACATTCACAGACCGTTTCAAAAATATGCTTACAACTAACAATATGGTGTAAAGCACCTGTTTTGGATGTTCCTACATACTTTCATCATCACAGAATGTCAATACTTCTGTTATTATGAGTAAATTAAATGGGATTACGTACTTGGGCTATAATTGAAGTTTAATCCTGAAATTAGCATGACCAAATTTCTTCACTCTCATGGGCTACATTCCTGAAAAGAGAAATCGGTAAGAAATCTTCAGATAAATATTTCTCATAGTGGCCCAAAAAATCAAGAAATTAAGTAAATATTGTTATAAGACTATATAATGAAAGGTATAACTCAAACAGCATTAATGGCTAGGAATCTAAGTCTAAAATGATGACAGGCTTACATAAAAATAACCCATTTTATTCTGCCAGAGTCTAATGAAATATTGATATACTCATATATCTGAGCATCATTTGACCCTCATCAGAGATTTTCCTTTGGCAATAGATGGAAAATAACATAATGATGTGCTGGGAAGTACTTTCTATAGAAAATAAGAGCCTGTATGGTGTTTCATGCCTTTAAACCTATTTGGAAGTCTCATACACGTATATTTTAAAGATGGCAGAAATATTGTAACATTGAAATGGAGGCTCTTGATTCCAAAGTACCAGTGTTTTCCAGTCTTAACATTACTGGCAGACATACACATTTAGAGTCTGTGATGAATGTAAAAAATAAGATCTGAACTTTTTCAATGAATTTAAAACATGACACACAATAACAAAGATATCTATTGTTTTAATTATTTTCAAGGAAAGCATGTAATACCTCTCTGACATCATCAATAAACACTAGATTTCCAAAATGCTCATGCTGTCTGGTTTCCTAATTAAGAATGGGCAAAGTGTGAGAAAGTATCAGGTACAAGTGTATTTATAAGCAAATAAACAAAGACTATGTCAGTCATAACAGCCAATTTGAGACTTTCAGAACCTTAAAATCAATACGATGATAAGAAGTAGGTTTCCTCTTGTATACCTTATTCTAATTCAGAGTCTTTGGTAACAGGTAGCGTAGTGCTTTCATATGTTACTTCATAATATTTTCTATGATTCTGATTTCATGCAAAAAACGTGCAATGTCATGCCAATTTTCACAATGAATCTCCGAGAAAAGAGGAAAAGGCATGACTCCTCTTGATGCTGTCATATATTAAAACCTTGAGGGAATTATTTCTTTGCAGAAACTGCAGTGTTTAAGACAGAGAAAAAGCACCACAAGTTTAAAAAGAAGAAGAGATTTTAGAAGCTGGGAAGGACATGATGCACAGACCATAACACGTGACTCTGAACTGTAATACTGGGAATATACCAGTACCTGACTGCTAATTACCCTGGTATTTTTCTCATATAATTATCAAGAGCAGTCAGCCGTGTCTGGGCCAATGTACATTTGGATTCCAGTTATAAATATTTGCTGATGTGAGCTGTCATATAGACAGAGCCTGACTAGGAAGGACCCGCTTTGCTGACGATATTATTAGCTCTCCTTGCCTCTGACTCCTCTGAAGGACTGTGCGCATTCAAAATTACCCCGGAACAATGAGAAGTATGATCTCAATTCCACCAATAGGAACAAAGCCTGTGGTAATCATGGAGATCCGCATCAGAGCTGCTGACTCATTTCTCCCTCCCATCTCAGTGTTTGCTCCGACAGAAAAATATGAAAGTGAAAGTAGATGGCAGGAAATAATGTAGTTTACCTAGGACAAGAATCCAATTATCAAAATGGAAATCATTATGATGTAAGAAAAAGGTGATCACATATCCGACTTCTTGGGTCTGTATCCTGCCTGTGTACCTGAAATTTTCCATTCCTCCCTGCCGGTGACTGATTGTGATATTGTGCTGCCGATTGCAGTTTACTGGTATCACGTTCAGAAATGCCATGTCATAGTTTCTAAACACTTATTGGGGAAATTTTCACCTGAAATTTTGAGATTCCCAGGTGCCTGAGGCTATTTGTCAACACAGCAATTATCTTAGAATGGCCTCTAATGGTGCATAAGATCAGTACATTCCAGTGTTGTCATGTATAGACTTTCTAAGAAAATCATCATTTCAGAAAACACATAATCTAAAGCTAACCTAGGAATTAGAGATTTTAAGGCTGAATAAGTGGCTTCAGACTAGAGCACATTTCATGCACTGCAAAGAGAAATGGGTGACTCTTCTCACAAACTCCTTGCTTTTCTTATTGCTTCTGTCCCCTGTAGGTCTCTGGGGGCACATTTTCATCTCTGGTGTTCTTTATGGCAGGGCTTTGACTAAAGTCCAGTTTTTAGCAGGACTTTAGTCAAAGCCACACTGGCAAAATCCCTCAATGCAGACCATTTTATGCCATGTAGGAACCAATAAGGAGAGAGATCTCAAATCAAGGACAGGAAAGCACAAGATTGCATTTAAGTTGATGATCTCATCCAGAGCTGATGAGTCATCTGTGTCTCCCTCCTTACCATGTATTGTGAAAAGAAGCAGAGCAATTGACTGGGAACACAGGATAAAAAGTAATTTACCCTTCATTTTACCTCCAGTTAACAGCCAAAGAAACTGGAAAAATGTAACAGGTTGAGTGAGCTGGCAGCTGCTTTTGTCTCGAATCTACCTATATATAAGGAAGCCTCCATTTCTGTCTGGAGATTTTTGATTGTGAATCTGCGCTGCCAAGTGTATCTGGTTTCTGATTCTTTGTGATTTTTTTCTCTGTTTTTACCTGTGGTTTTTTATGCTGTCAAATTATACTTAAGTGTGTTACATATAATATGATATTATAATATATATATAATATATTATAATATACAATGTATAATATTATATATGATTATAATAAAATCATATAATATGATATTATATATACAAATAAAATGCAATTATTGTTTTTCTTAATATATTTAAGTTGATTAGAGTGTGATACAAGAAAGTGGGTGGATGTATAAAGAAATATAGATTTGAAACCCTCTCCCATATAGAGCCAACTGTAATATAGTACCCCACAGTGTCTTAATGATAAAGAAATGAATTCAGTTTAATTAAATTAAGGGAAAAAATAAATATATTTAAATTGTTAACATTTGTATTTGCTTGTTTTCAGTCGTCTTATAGTTCTTTGAACAATTACTTTTGCATGATGCAGCCTTCATATTTTTGTTTCTTACATGCAATCAATATACATAAATATCCTCTATATAATAATTTATAATGATTTCCTTAAAAAAACAAGGAGATTCCAAATATTTAGGGTTCTTTCTAAATATCATAATCACTATCAAAACTAATCTATGTATATATATGCATATATATATATATATATTTAAATCTTTAATGAAAGAGACTTTATTTAAGGAAGTTGTGTGTCCACCAATTTTAAGCCTACTATTGTTACATAGCACATTTCATGGCAAGACACTCTGAAGATAATTGTAACTTTCCTTTTCAATTATTTAAATGCATGAAATAGCCCCTTTAATAAGGTTAAGCTTCATTTATCCTGCCATTAGGCATACTAGGATATTTGAGCACTAGAAAAACTACAAAAACAATGTGTTTAGTTTAAGCTTTTGAAATTTCACTGAGTCAAATGTTCTTTTATATAAATCAAATATTGGTTTCATGTCGATGTTTATTGGAACTAGAATATATGAGATTGGATTTCTACTTTGAATGTAATGTGACATTTTAGCCTAGCTGGGCATGAATACTCTGAGAACTTTCACTTTCTACACTTCTCTAATATTCTGAAATTGTATAATACCAGCATGCTTGCTTTAGAAAATGAGTATTGGGGGTGAGGGGTGGAAGTAAGGGGAGATGGTTAGTGAGAGAGGAGAGGGGGAGGATTGGGGATGGCTTGGGGGAATGGGAGGGGGAAGGAAGGAAGGATGGTTATGGGAGCAGGGAAATTTATATCTCAACTAAAGGAGCCGTTTTAGGATTTGCAAGAGACTTGATTCTGGAGGGGTTCCCAGACCCAAGGAGAGGTCCCCAGATTGTACCCTTGGCAGCAGAGGAGAGGGTGCCTGAACTGGCCTTGGGCCATAACCAAATTGATGAATATTTTGCATGTCACCACAGAACCTTCATATGGCAATGGATGGAGATAGAGACAGAGACACATATTGGAACACTGGACTTAACTCCCTAGGTCCAAATGAGAAGAAGAGGGAGGGAGATCGTGAGCAAGGAAAGCAGAACCAGAGGGAACCTTCATCCGAAGATGGATAGAGATAGAGACAGAGACCCACATTGGAGCACTGTACTGAGCCCCCAAGGTCCAAATGAAGATTAAAAGGAAGGTGAACATGAAAAAGGAAGTCAGGACAAAGAAGGGTGCGTTCACCCACTGATACAAGGGGACTGATAGAATGAGAGCTTACCAAGGCCAGCTGGACTGGGACTGAACGAGCATGTGATCAAACGGGATTCTCTGAATGTGGCTGACATGGTAGCTGACTGAGAAGCCATTGACAATGGCACTGGGTCTGGTTTTGTCAGCATGGACTGGTTTTTTGGGATCCTGTTCTGTTTGGAAGCTCACCTTCCTGGACCTGAAGGGAGCGGGGAGGAACTTGGATTTCCCACAGGGCAGGAAATACTGATTGCTCTTGGGAATGGTGAGGGAGAAGGAGAGGGAGTGGGGGGAGCAGGAGGGTGTTGAGAGGAGGGGAGGAAGTGGAAATTCTTTACATAAATAAATAAGGAAAAAAAAAGAAAATGAGTATTGTGAAATTGTCTTCTAGGTTTCTCAATTTCCAAGTGAGCATGTTGCTGATTGTCTGAGGTTACAATATAACCATAAAAGCAATAAAATAAGATAAAGACTATAACTCACAGACTACATTGTTTACTACTCTAAAGATCATGGTATTCAGTTTACTCACCAAACTTATTTGGTTCTCTAAATACCAATATTAATTTATCTTTTCTGAATTGCAGATGATATTGTTAAAAAATTGGCAAATGTCTGGGTTCCACTATCATCCTAATGCATATAGTACAGTTAGAACAGCATGGAGGTGAATCCATGCCCATCGAACATAATTGGATACAAAATTGTGGGTATGTTTGACCAATTGTGTACTCCTTAGTGGTAAAGATAATGACACTTTGAAATTTGCAGACACATAATGAAACTAGAAAATACCATCCTGAGTGACTTAACACAGACCAGAATAATGAGGATTGTATGTACCCAATCATAGGTGAACACCGAATAAAACGCAGAGTAGGAAACCTATACAACACGATCCCAGACAGCACCAGTCTATTCCCCAGAGCAGTGGGGCACTGAAGATATCCACTTGGAGCTTAGCAAAACTGGTCTTTGGGTAAAGAACTCCCCATGTCTTGAATCTGAAACAATGCATGATGTCTGAACTGGACAAGCCTTATCAAAGACAAGGGATTGCCAAACTTTGCCAAGACAGGGTAAGATGAATTTAAAACTTTTCCTGCCTCTGAAAGTGCTCTGTTAGTGACTCTAAGTCATAGAAAATGCTATTTGCTCGACTGTTGAAAATGAGATTTTGGGTGATTGTCTACATAGCCAGTTGCTTCTGTCATTTATTGCACATTTGAAAGTTTCTTCTTTGTCCATCATGTTTCCAAAAGTAATATTATTTTCCTCTCAAGTTTTCAATGGTGTTGAATACTATACAGTCATAGTGCCATTCCTCTCATGACTTGGCCCAGCCATTACTAATATAAATCTTAGACCCCTTAGGATAGAATATTTATTGAAATATTTAGGATACTTTTCTTTCTTGATATTGTTTATGATAGGTATAAAGCTATTTTTTTTTGGTTTTTCAAGACAGGGTTTCTCTGGTAACTGTAATTTTTATACTTCATATCTGTTCTTATTGTTTATAGTTCTACATTTGTTTAAGTTGGAAGCATGGGAATGGGCGTGGGGTGGGGAGAATGGGGGATGAGAAGAAAGAAGGGGAGGATTGGGGAGAGCTAGGGGGATGGGAATGGTTGAAATGGAGGAATGGTGGATATGGGAACAGGAAAGAAGATATCTTAATTAAGGGAGCCAGTTTAGGGTTGGCAACAGACTTGGCTCCAGAGGAGTTTCCAGGTCTCCATGGGGATGTCCTCAGCATGGTCCTTGGGCAGTAAAGGAGAGGGTGCCTGAACTGGCCTTATCCTATAGCCTCACTGATTAATATCTTGCATGTCACCAAAGAACCTTGATCTGACGATGGATGGAGATAGAGACAGAGACCGATATTGGAGCACTAGACTGAGCTCCCAAGGTCCAGATGAAGAGCAGAAGGAGGGAGAATATGAGCAAGGAACTCAGGATCGCGAGGTTTGCTGTGGGACTGATCGAATGGGAGCTCACCAAGGCTATGTGGATTGGGACTGTAGGAGCATGTGTCACTCCTGAGAAGGGAGAATGGTCTGTCCATGCTGTTGGGCTGCTGCTCTGTAACCTGCTCCCCATAGTGGATAACCAAACACTACCTAAATACAGAGGGAGTTGTTGACCTTATTATAGAGGGATATGTCATACTGTTCTGGCATCCTTGAGAGTTCTGTCCCATATCGTGTGAATATTATTCTTTGTAACCTAGTTAAGGTCCCATTAGCTTAACAGGGCTAGAGGTATTTTTGGTTCGTGAAAAGCATTTCTGCCCAAATTTATCCACACATCTTTGGATATGGATGTATGTTCCTCAATCTGCAGATAATTCACTAATTTCAAAGTCTTCACCTCCTGCACTACAATTTGCAACATGCTCTCTTTCTTAGATATAGCTGATCTTTGTTAGAACTTGACTCTCCTTTAAAGAAGCAAGCATCCTGGAATCAGGCATCTGCTTAGACATCACATGCCCACTGTCCACCATATCAGCATAAGAAATGTCATACATCATAGGAGTTTCTTCACCCTGGGGTTTAGCATAGAGCTTTTCATCATCAACACTTACGTTTCAGAAGAGATTTGTGTCTTTGTTTTGGAGTGCTTGATTTTAAAATAATCAAACAACAATAAAACTTAGAAAAAAATGGGGGAATACAAAAATAACTTTGTATGGAAAATTCCAAAATTTGAAATATGACCATAAAAAGAAAAGATAAAATATTCTGACAAAAGATTTTTTCATGAGAAAGCAACAGCATTGTAGCGTTGAGAGTTAGCAGGTTGGTTAATAAGCCAGGGAGTGTTAACCATTAGCTTTATATGCAAAAATAACATCATTTTACACCAATAATACTCGTGCACTTTTGTTTAAAGAGCTAAAAATTTTCAGTGCGTTTTTCTAATTATACTTTATTAATACATAATACTTACCATTATTCTTGGACTTAAAAATACTTCATGACATGTGAAGATTCAATTTATATCCCGAAGAAATGGATATCTTATCTGAAGACAGCGTATCATAAAGAATAGATCTGTTGGCAGAAGCTGATGGCTTGTATCCTAATGCCGTGACATGATATAATAAATGAGAAACTATAATATTTACAATACTGTCAGGGAGAAAAAATGAATATGAAAGTGGATGACAGGAAAAAAATTCAGTTTACCACAAAACAGAGTCCAATTATCAAAGAGGAAACCACTGTGATCAGGTATCGATCAGGAATCAATCATATATCCCACTTCTTGGGTCTATATCCTGCCTATCTTCCTGAAATCCAACATTTCTGCCTGTGGAGGGCTAATTATTATTCTTCACTGCCAATTGCAGCTTACTACTGTCACACTAAGAAATGCCATGTCAAGTTCCCTAAACACACTAATTGTGGAATCTGCCACTTGAAATTTTCATAATCAGAGATGCCTGAAGCTATTCTGTAACAATCATTTATTATAGTGAGTCCTCAAATGGTGCATAAGATCAGTACATTCCCGGTTTCTGTCAGGTATTCACTCCCAAAGTAAAATTTGATTACAAAAAATGCATAACCAAAGACTTATCAAGAAATCACAGATATTAAGGCTAAAGCAGTGGCTACATAGACTGAAGCACATTTCCTGCACTGCAAACAGGAACAGGTGACTCTTAGCAGAAGCATGGGGAAATCTCAGAAAATTTTGCTTTTACTTGGTATCTATTTCCTTTGTCTCCTGCAGGTCTCCGCAACAGATTTTGATCTCTGAGTTTGTTTATCGCCAATCTCCTGATTGGCAAAATCCCTCAGGGCAGACCTTTTTATGTCATCTACGAACCAATAAGAAGAGAGATCTCAGACCAAGGACCAGTAAGCACAGAACTGCATTTACCATGATGATCTCATCCTGAGCTGATGATTCATCTGTGTCTCCCTCCTCCCTATGTGTTGTAAAAAGTAGCAGAGCCATTTAAAGGGGAACACAGGATGAAATGTAATTTACCCTTTCATTTGTCTCCAGTTAACAACAGACAAACCTGGCTCATTATGACTGGTTGCCACAGCAACAATGCAGCTGCTTTTGACTAGATTCTAGCTGTATACACGAAAACCTCCATTTTTATCTTCGGTTTTTTTATTGTGACTTTGCGCTGTCAAGTGTATCTGGCTTATGATTCTTTGTGATCTGTTTTTGTCTGTTTTTATGTGTATTTATTTGGGCAATTGAATTATAATTAATTATGTTATATATAATACATGTATAATATATAATTACAATGATCCATGTAGTTAAATTACAATACATAATATATCTAATTTCATAAAAATGTTGTATAAAGAGATGAATGGATTGTAGGAAGAAACGTTGATTTCATGTCCTGTTATAAATAGGCCCAACTGTAATAATATATGCTACTGTGTTTTAATGATAAAAAAATAAATTCAAATTAATTCATTTATGGGAAGAAATTTAAATATATTTATATTCTTAACGTTTATGTTTGACTGTATAAAGTCCTTATATATTTTTCACTCCCACTTTTGCAAGAAGCAACTTTCATAGTGTTTCTAATCATATGTAATTAATATATATAAAATATTCCCTTAATATAATTTTATAAGTATTTGTTTAAACATCCAGTAGATTCCAGATACTAGAATTTCTCTCAAAATGTCATCATCACTATTATCTAAATAAATTTTTCTTTCTTTAATGTATTCAAAATATTTAAGGAAGTTGTAGGACAATTGATTAGAAACTATCTCTTGGTATGTGATTTCCCTACATGGCAAGCTATGCTGATAATAATTCTAAATTTCTTACTCAATTATCTCAATACTACAAATAGCTGCACTAATAATGGTTTGGCCTCATTGTCTTTCCTCTATTCGTATTGTGCTTTTGAGTACTGAATATGCTACAAGAATTATGCATTTAGTTCCAGTTCTTTGAAATTGATTGAGGAAAAAGTGCTAACATATTAATCAAATAGAGGTTTGATGCAGATATTTATTTAAACTTACGCAATTGAGATAGGTTTCCTCCTGAGATTGAAATGTGCTATTCTACCCTAACTGGCTATGAATACTCAGAAAACTTTCTGATACCACACTTCTCGAATATCCTGAAATTGTATAATACCAGCATGGCTGCATTAGAAAATCAGTATTATAAAAATGGATTGCAGGTTTACAAATTTCTAAATGAGCATATTCCTGACTGAGACTGCTACCTGAATGTCTCAACTTTCAATGTAACCATGAAGGCTTAAAAAATAAGATAAGTATAAATCACAGACCACAGAGTTGACCACTCTAAAGATCATTGTATTATTCTTACTCACCAATTTGATATGGTCCTCTGTAAAAAGCAATGTTAAATTATCTTTTCATAATTGTAGATAATAATGTGCAGGAATGCGCAGATGTCTGTGTTCTTCCTCTATAATCCTTAAGCGTTTAATGTAATCTGAATAACATGGAAGGAAATCCATGCCCATTGACCACAATTAGATAAAAAAAAATGTGGGCTCTGAAATGAGGTAACACAGACTAGAAACATGAAGATGGTTTGAACTAAAGCATAGGTGAACAATTATTATAAAGCATAGGATAGAGAACATTTAGCCAAGGTCCACAAAGTATCTAAGTAATAAGGTGAACATAAATTTAAAAAAAATGATAACCCTGGGAAGAGACAAAAAGACAAATATGATGAAAAAATGGGCAAGTATGGGTATGGTGGAAAAGGAATGCAGATTGTAAGGAGAAAGATAGAAATGGAGTGGAAAGAACTGGAAGTAACAGAATTGTCAAGATAGGGGATGGAACAAGACAGAGAGTAAAGAAAAAGTTTTATTCAATGAAAGAAATATTATAGGAATAGCTAAACTTTAGAATTGGAGGAATTCACAAGGATGACCACAACTAAGACCCTATGTAATAGTGGAAAGGGTACTTGAACAGCCCTTTGTTGTCAGATTGATTATTATCATAAATGTCATCATGGAACCTAAATCCAGTAAATTATGGAAACAGATGCAGAGATCCACAGTTGATCACATGGCTGAGTTCCTAAAGTCCAGTTGAAGAATGGGAGTAGGAATAATACATGGAAGAGATCAAGGTCATGATGGGAAAACCCACTGAAACAGCTTAACTGAGCTAATGGTAGCCTAGAAACTCTGACCTGACAATGAGGGAACTAGCATACTAACAAACTAGGCACTCTGAATGTGAGGGAGATTTGTATGATTGGGACAGACTTTGATTACAGGGTCAGTGGGACCGGGATTAATTCATCCTTCATGTTCTGATTTTAGGGAACCCATTCTCTGGAAGACTGTCTAGCAAAGTCTAGATATAGTGTGTACAAAATATATAAAATAGAAATGCAATTATGATATGTTCAAAAGAAATAAAATGAATTAATAATGAAATTGCCTGTGTTAGTGATGTGTCTTTTAAAGGTATCATTTAAATCATATATAAACAAGCAAAAAATTACATTTACATTTAACTTAGTGTTACTTTAATGTGATTTGGCTTTTGAATAATTGCAAGTCATAGACAGAAATTATAAGTACTGGAATATTTCTTTTACTAGTTTTTCTTTATCTCCTTGGAAACAATTAAAGTCACAGTGGTTTTACTCTTTGAAATTGTATTATTTGTTTTATATACTTACTTCATATCACAGGGTAGGAGGGGCAGCCTGAGCAAAAAATGGGCCTGTTTACTAATCCCATATTTTAAGGCAAGTGTAGATCACAGCCCAGTCTGTGGTAAGATATTAGGCATCAGCTGGGCAGGTTTAAAATCCATGTTTATATGGTTGCTCTTCAGTTTGTAGACATGAGCATTGAGGATGAAATCACTGCTGAGTAAGTGAGAAATGTAAGGAATAAACATAAATATTTTCTAAGAAAAATACATATAAAATAATACATACCAACACTATTATGAATAAATGTAATCATAAAATTTCCCAAGAAGATAGCAAAAAGGGCATTTTATTTCTACATCAGAAAATAAATAAAATGTAATAAGTAGGGAGTGAGTACATACTGATCAAGAACAGGGTACAGAATATTCCTTTATCTTGTGTGAATACTTGTCATTTTGATTGATTTAAGAAATAATCTGACAGAATAACTTTTAAGTAGAATAAGTTTTGGCTGAAGAAACAGACAAAAAGTAGTTAGGAAAATGGAGAATTATCAGTATCATGAGAAGTTGTGGAAAGTGGATGTAGTCCACCTGGCAGAGCACATATAAGAAGTAGAATTAATTTAAATATTTACTTATTTAATAATAAACTGAACTATTTCTGAGTGTTTAGAATAAATCATAATTTTCTCTGTGGTTACTCAGGAACTGTCTAGTGGGAAACAAAACTCGGCCTACTAATGATATTCTGATGTAGTGAACTAATTAGTATAAGACAAAGTAAAATATATAACTAAAAGATTCTAAGCAATCAAAAAATTGAATTAAATGTGGATTCTGAATAGTGTCTTTGTTCAGCTATGATCAATGCTAGTGTGAAACAGTGGAATGGCTCTTTAAGAGATGTTTTATGAGCTGGGTGCAGGTGACTACCAAGAGCATAACTCCATTAAGTTGTCCTCCGTCCAAATACTTTACAAGGTTTATTAACAATGGGCTATATGCTACTCAGTGTAAGAATGTACCCAATAATGTCCCAGAGGTTCAGTGATAATCATGGCTCCCTGAGACCTCAACCATGAAGCTAGTCTCTGAGGACCCAAAGGTGAGGAGCTAACTACAAATGCAACAAATATTGTAGTTAAACATTTGTGTCATCTAATAAAAGAACAATACATTTTTTAGTAAAGAATATTCAGACAAAAAAGACTATAGATAGGCTGCTGTGTGTTTATAAATATGCATGTGTCAATGTCTCTGCTGGTCTTTTTTTAAATGTTGGTTATTAATTTAAATGAGATAATATTAATGGATCACTGATAAGATGGGATTTATGCAATTGCATTATTTTTATTTACTTTTCATTCATTTTGCACACTTTAAAAAGTTCTGCCACAGATTCTTCTTCCACATGCTTCCCTCCCCACAGTACATCCTCACAAATTTCAACCAAAGGATAGGCTGGGGGGGGCAACTTAACTTGGCATATTAAGCTGATGCAGTTCAAACCCTACCCTATCAAGATGAGTTAGACATCCAAAGTTATGAAATTATCCCCCCAAAATTACATCTTGTACCAGAAATAATTCCTGTTGTCCCTCCCAATCCCTTAAGTTGACCAAGCTACACATCTATCTCCCACAAAGTTATGCTAGATCCGTGAAATACAGGCTTCATAGCAGTTTACATAGAGTTCATGATTTCCCAAGAGCTTGGTTCTGTCTTGAGAGGCTTCTTGGTTGAAGCTTCTCAAGATCTTCAATCTCCCTTGCTCATATAATTCCTGCTCAATTGGCATTTTGGAATCTCTTTGGACCATTGAAAATTCCTTCTATATTAATATACAATAATTTTGGAAAAAATCCATCACATCCCAATTTTAAAACTACTGCCCAATTTCCAAAATCACTACTACATTCGAAGATTGTATACTTTTAACCCTTTAATGACAACTCAGTTCATTTAAGCAAGTTGTATGTCATTCAGTTTGAATCCACCTACTGGAACATTAGTAGCCAATTTTGCTAAACATCCTTGAAAAAACATCTAATGTTCGTTCTCAGTGATCTCACTCTGATATGGATCAGGCATCATTAGTCCTGCCATTAGGCATGCTGGGATTTCTGAATTTTTGATATACCACAAGGATTAAGCATTTTGTTCTATATTTTGGAAGTCATGAGTTCACATGTGCTTATCTGAATCCTTTGCAACATGTCTAAAGGTTAGAGAGTTCAGACCTACTCATGCTACTTCAAGTGTATAAGCGAGGATGCTAGGACCTAATGTGTTATTACAGAACATTGTGCCTAGACAAAAGAGTATTTTACCTAGAGAGTGGTTACTACCTGTTTGGAGATGTGTAGAAGAATTTACTTTGTATGGTCTTTGTACCATGGAAAGGAAGTCTTGGATCATACTCAATTTTATAGTGAGATACATAAGAACAATGAATAATAATTTTGAGACAGATAAAAGTATTCACTGGATGTCCTACTCTTCTACAAGTTGTGCACATTACCGCAACTTCAAGTATGCAGTGAGTCTATGTCAAGCCATTAAGCAGTTTGTCACATAGTGCTTATAAAACCCACTTAAATGCTTGGTCTCTTGATAGAGCCAAATGTCACTATAGACATTTCCCAGGATGCCTGGATTTCAAAATTGTGTGGCTTTCCAACTGCTATTGCTGTATCAGGAAAACTTCTCTGAAAGGAGCTGTTGCAAGCCACCTACAAAAGACAGGCTAATAAGAAGCCCTGATTACCTCTGTTCTTTTATGTCTAGAATCCTTTTCCACACGCTCTCAGATTTTAAGTGGATAATAGTTGGCCACAGGTGCACCAATTTGTTGTAAAGAAGGCCATTTTTTTTTGGTTGCAAGCTTCTTAGACCTGAAATAATCACACAGAAACTGTTTTATTTAAATCACTACTCATCTCATTAACTCTAGCTTCTTATTGACTAACTCTTACATACAATTATCCAATCTCCATTAATCTGTGCATTGCCATGTGACTGTGGCTTTCTGGGAAATTTTCCATGTGGTTCCAGCTGGGAGCCATGACTTTTCTGTGATGCTACCTCTTTTCTCCTAGCATTCAATTTAGTTTTCCGGGCCTACCCAAGTTCTGCACTTCTATAGGTCAAAAGCAGTCTCTTTATTCAATAATGGTATTCACAGTATACAGATGGGACACTCACATTACTTATCGGGCTAGATCTTTTTGCTTACCTGTATTTTGTATTTAAAGTTTGACTTTTGTAAATCTTAGAAATAATTTTATCTTAGTACAGAGTTTTTCTTTGAGAATGTCTACAGCTATGTAATAAACCTATGTATCCAGATGAGCTGTAAATGTACTCCTACTTTATCTAGCTTTTAGACACTTCATGCACACTCTGGGTGACTGTAGGCCTCTAAATCTTGAATACCTACCTGTTATCTACATAGGTCCTAATAATACAATTTACTTCTTCATCTCTTCGTTTTTTCATACAATACAATAGGAACAAATTTATACCTAGGCTGATCTAGTTAAAATTTAACAGCCTAGTACTGGATCTTTGACTACACAAAGTATAAACTTGTCTTCCTTTAGATTATTTAACGGTGGATGCTTTTTATGAATTTCCTAGCCATCTTTAAATCTGATCACAAAGGCATTAAAACAAAGCTTTTCTTTCTTTCAATAATTTTCCTGTGACGACTGACACTCCATTAAAGTCTTGCCACCCTTGCTTTCTATTAATTCAATTTTACCACTCCCTGTTCTTGTCCATTCCTTTATCTCTTCAACACTGCATGTCAGCCAGTTTTTACATTATAATTTGTTGTAGGGGTCACTAATTCATTTTTGGTAAAAAAAAAAATATTGGTTAATTGACAATAATCTAAAATAGTCAAGCTTGTAGTCATGTTAGTTAGCTTTTCAAGATGTACAGAGATCTATTTCAGATGGATAGGTATTCTTCAAACCTTTTAAAGACTACATAATATGTCATTTAAAATTGTTTTCATCAGCCAGGATTTTTCATGACAATGAGACACATCTACACATGGCAGCACCAGTCTACTACAAAAAAAAATGGTCACCAAAGAGACTCTATATGGAGTTGGTTAGCCATTTCAAAAAAAAAAACCTGTGCCTGCCTGAACTGTTTGCCTGAATTGAACTTGAAGGACTCATTGAGAAAATGATGGCTAAAGCTCCCTACAAATGGTGAGAGAGTCCTTTGGGGTTCCTGTTTCATAAAACAGTCTACAATACATTTTGTAGGGCATACATAAAATTACTGACAAGCTGCCATATAGGTAAAAGTATCTATTTTTTTTCCTGTTTTTGGAAAATTCTGAAAAATAATATGGGCCTGTAGTCGAAAGATGGATGCTGCAACCATACCAAAAAAACTTTGGGTGATTATATGGGAAATGAGATGTCTTTGTCAATTCTGGAGTTTTAAAATTTGCTTACAGTGTACTTCCTGTTTACTTAAGTAATATATCATTCTGGAAATTTTGATTGATATGGGATTCCCCTCTGTATGCTGTTATTAACAATGTTTAATAAAGGAACAGTCTTGGGTATATAGCAGAGCTATAGGGGAACAGAACTAGGGGAGGAAAACTAAACTGAATTATTGAAAATGGAGGAGTTTAAAAGAAGTCATGGAGCCCCCACTTTAGACTGACATGCTGAAACTTTGCTGGTAGGCTATGACCTCAAAATGCACATATTAGTAGAAATGGGTTAAATCAAGATGTAAGAGTTTGCAAATAAGAAACAATGCAGCTGCTTTTGCCTAGATTCTAGCTGTATACATGAAAGCCTCCACTTACATTTTTGGGGTGTTTTTGTGTGTGACTTTGTGCTGTCAAGTTCATCTTGCTTCTGATTCTTTCTGATCTGTTTTTGTCTGTTTTTATGTCTGTTTATGTGAATGAATTACAATTAATAATGTTATACATAGTACACGTAATATTTATTATGTCTAAGTATAATATATGATTATAATGATTCATGTAGTTAAATTACAATGTATATTAGATCTAAATTTATTAGAATGTTGTATAAGGAGATGGATGGATTGTAGGAAGAAATGTTGATTTCACGTCCCATTGTAAATAGACCGGCTGTAAAAAGGTATTCCACTGTGTCTTAGTGATAAAAAAATGAATTCAAGTTAAAGCATTCACGGGAAGAAACTTAAATATATTTATATTCTTAACATTTATGTTTGACTGTTTAAAGTCCTTATATAGATAGTTTCACCCCCACATTTGCAAGAAGCAACTTTCAGAGTGTTTCTTATCATATGTAATTAATATATATAAAATATTGCCTTAATACAATTTTATATGTATTGGTTTTAAACATCCAATAGATTTCAAATATTAGAATTTCTCTCAAAATTTCATCATCACTATTAAATCTAAACAATTTTTTCTTTCTTTAATGTATACAAAATATATTTAAGGAAGTTGTAGGACCATTGATAAGAAACCATCTATTGGTACATGATTTCCCTACATGGCAAGCTATGCTGATAATAATTCTAAATTTCCTACTCAATTAGCTCAATACTACAAATAGCTGCTCTAATGCGGGTTTTGTTTCATTGTCTTTCCTCTATGCATAACTTTTGAGTACTGGATATACTACAAGAATTATGCATTTAGTTCTGGTTGTTTGAAATATATCAGTGCAAAAGAGCTTACATATAAATCAAATAGTGGTTTGATGCAGATATTTATTTAAACTTACATTATTGAGATAGGATTCCTCCTGAGATTGAAATTTGTCATTCTATGCTAACGGGCCATGAATACTCAGAAAACTTTCTTATACCACACTTCTCTAATGTCTTGAAATTGTATAATACCAGCATGGCTGTATTAGAAAATCAGTATTCTAAAAATGAATTGCAGGTTTACAAATTTCCAAATGAGCATATTCCTGATGGAGACTGCTACCTGACTGTCTCAGCTTTCAATGGAACCATGAAGGCAAAAAAATTAAGATGAGTAAAAATCACAGACCACAGAGTTGACCACTCTAAAGATCATTGTATTATTCTTACTCACCAAATATGATATGTTCCTCTGTAAACACCAATGTCAAATTATCTTTTCTTAATTGTATATAATAATGTCCAGAAATGTGCAAATGTCTGTGTTCTTCCTCTACAATCCTTAAGCATTTAATGTAATAAGAACAACATGGAAGAAAATTCATGCCCATTGACCATAAATAGATTTTTAAAAAGTGGGCACATTTACACTATGGAGAACAACTCCACATTAAAAATAAATTTCCAGGCAAATGTATGATTCTATAAAAATCCATCTGAAGTGAGGTAACTCAGACCAGAATCATGAGGATGGTTTGAATCAAAGCATAGGTGAACAATTATTATAAAGCATAAGATAGAGAACCTATACACCAGAAACAGAGAATCTAAGTAATAAGGTGAGCATAAACATAAAATGATATCATTGGGAAGAGCAAAGAGACAAATATGATGCAAAATGGGAAAATATGGGTATGGTGAAAAGGGAATGCAGATAGTAAGGACAAGGAGAGAAATGGAGTGGAAAGAACTGGAAGTAACAGGATTGTCAAGATAGGGGATGGAAAGAGACAAAAGCAAAGAAAAAGTTCTATTCATTGACAGAAATATTATGAAAATAGCTAAACTTTAGAATTGGAAAAATTCACAAGGATGACCACAATTAATACTCTATCTAATAGTGGAAAGGGTACTTGAACGGTCTTGTTTTGTTGTAAGAATGATTACTATCTTAAATGTCATCATAGAACCTAAATCCAGTAAATTATGGAAATAGATGCAGAGATCCACAGTTGATCACATGGCTGATTTCCTAAAGTCCAGTTGAAGAATGGGAGTAGGAATAATACATGCAAGAGATCAAGGTCATGATGGGAAAACCCTTTAAAACAGCTTACCTGAGCTAATGGTAGCCTAGAAACTCTGAACTTACAATGTGGGAACTAGCATACTAACAAGCTAGGCACTCTGATTGTGAGGGAGATTTGTATGATTGGGGAAGACTTTGGATATAGGGGCAGTGTGACCAGGATTGATTCATCCTGCTTGTCCTGATTTTAGGGAACCCATTCTTTGGAAGACTATCTAGCAAAATCTAGATATAGTATGAACAAAAAAATAGAATACAAATGCAACTATGATACGTTCAAATGAAATAAAATGAAATAATAAGGATATTGTCTGTGTTAGAGATGTGTCTTTTTAAGGTATCTGGTAAGTCATATATAAACAAGCAAAACATTACATTTACATATAACTTAGTGCTATTTAAAAGGGATTTGGCTTTAAATAATTGTAAGTCATTGATAGAAATTATGAGTACTGAAATATTTCTTTTTACTAGAAATATTTCTTTTTGCATTTTCTTTATTTCCTTGAAAACAAAGTCACAGTGGTTTAACTCTTAGAAATTGTATTATTTTCTTTTTCTTTTTTTTTAAGAAAGTAATTTTATTAAATTATAAAAGTTTCCATTTCCGCCCCTCCTCCCAACACCCTCCCACTCCCCCCACTCCCTCTCCTCCTCCTTCTCCATCCCTAAGAGCAGTCAGGGTCTCCTGTCCTGTGGGAAGTTCAAGTTCCTCCCCCCTCCCTCCAGGTCCAGGAAGGTGAGTGTCCAGACAGACTGGATCCCCAAAATCCAGTATATGCAGAAGAAACAAGTCCCAGTGTCATTGTCAATGGCATTTCAGAAAGACCCCAGGCCAGCCACATTCAGAGAATCTGGCCATATTCAGAGAATCT